TGGTGATTACCCTTGTTGTTTTTAGTAAAGACCCACTTAGCTGCATCACATAGGAATAACACCTTAGAGCCACTGAAAAGCTGGACAGAATTAGTGCAGTTTTAGCATGAGATTCTCTGGCTGCTAAAATTCTTGCGGCTAAGGTTGTGGCAAAGTATAGATGCTCCTATATGTTAAAAATGAATAAATATGTTAGATGTCCATTGCAGTAAAGTAACTATCTCCCCACAACGCTGCCATCACACCCTCAAGACAAGTTTTGGCAGGCACAGCTGGATCTCCAATTGGAAGATGAGAGTGCATACATTATCATAACAATGAAGCCAGAGAGGTTTTAAAGAGAGAATAAAAAAGCACTGAAGATTTCCAAAGATCATTAAATGATGGCAAATTTCTATTTACAACATGTATGCTTTACCTCAAGGTGAATTCTGGGGCAGGCATACATTTGCATGAATTAGCATGTTTAAGGAGTGTGGGGACACTGGCTTTTCGTTACAAACAGACAAAGTCGATAAATCAAAATGAGGGCCCGCCGCTCAAGTGATTGTGCCTCTCTGGTCACCACAGAGACGCAGCAATGAGTGTGCAGAAGCCCTGCAAAATGGTGAAGCTCAGTGGTCCATAATTCAAAAATGAATATTTATAAGTAGGAGCCCAGTGGACTTTGCCTTGGGGGAAATAATTGGGTAGACAGGAGGAGAGTGGAATCGCCATCCCGCTTCAGAGAGAGTAGAAGAAGCCTTGCAGTCATTATGCGAATGTGGTTCAGTAACATCCATACGGTACCTCAACTTGTTTAGTCTTTGAAAGAGTGGAGATAGTGGTGTATAGGGACTTTGAGATATAAAGGCATATTTGGTATTTTTCAAAACTGAGCTCGACTGTGTTCACACTGCAAGCTGCTGGGCTGATTTTTTGGCAGTGCTCCAAATACATAAGTAAACGAGTAAACTATCAGGTGGCGTTAATCACACGTAAAGAGCAAATAAGAAAGTCAGGGCTCTATACTAACGTTTCCCTCTCACTCCGCTCGCATAAGATTTTAGGAGGACCAGTCCAAGTGTAGGAGTCTTGAATTGGGAGCAAGACGCCATTTCTATCTAAAAGAGTAAATCTTTGTCTTTTTCAGTATGGAATCACCTGCTTGTAGTCTGAATTTTCCTCTTCAGCACGTCTGAACTCCCAACTTTTAAGAAAAGATTCAAATTTAATCTCTACAGGCCCCACATGTCGGTGAAACCATTAAGAGACAGCTTGAATAGGTTTTTGTTTTGTTATAGTAATATAATAATTATTGTAATTTTGCCAAGAGGAAGCCTTCAGATTTTCCAGGTTAATCATATCACCTATAAAGATCTTAAATGTAGAGACAACAAAATATAATCTGCATAAAATGCAATTTCATGAGTTCTTGTTCCAAACTTGACACCCTCGATATCATCATGAGGTTCTTGATACATTCTGCTAGTTTCTTAACTGCTCTGAGTGTACAGTAATGGAGTGATGGGAGTTATGTTTTAAGTTATATTTTTGTCTAACTCTGCTGTGACATTGGAGGGTAGAAGTTATTTCCTCTTTAAAAATAGTTTGTTTCCTTCATTGTCCACGAAGGCAAGCGAGCAGCCAAGACGACGGGCCACACACAGATCTCTTGGAAAGCTGCACAGCTCTCTCAGACAGCTCTCAGCAAACACAAATACTTATACAAAACTGTCTCTCTCTCCCGGTGATCAACATTTGAGAAAACTATTGAAATGGCACTTTCGAAATGTCTCCAAAAGTGGCGACAAAATGGCTGCAGTTCTGCAGCCCTGAGAACAAATTCAGACTACCTCTGAATGTACCAACAGTCTGAGCGAAGGTGGTAATAGACTTTTAGACATCATTTCTGAGCTGTTCGATTTAGTTTCCTTTCAAATAATATTTGGACAGAGCTGGAAGGCTTTGAATGGCTGTAATCAACTTCTTGGCCATTTGCATTTGCCAGGTGGAGCTGTTGTCTAAGCATGGATATCAGATGCCTATCTACAGCTCACATGTGAACATAGCCAACAAGCAAACTCTCACATGTATAAATCAGTGGCTGTGCCAAGCTGTTCATCAGAACCCCCTCCTCCCCCCCCCATACAGCACCTTGCTGGTACCACAGCTACCCTTCACTCCTTCCAGCTTAAGTGGACTCTGATAAAGTTGCTCTTTGATGCATTAATAACCTCTTCCTCCCTAATGGGCTGCGGGGGCCAACTTCCGAACATTACCCCGCATATCCTCGCCTGACATGCACTCTTTAATTATTTCTTTCTATGAGTGTTGAAGCGAAACGAGGGGAAGAGGAAAGTGATGACATACTTCTAATGAATCCTTGAATAAATAATACTGCTGTCTAAGCTTAAGGCATCTTCAACCAGCCGTACTGGGAGCGAGGTGGAAGGCAGAGCAAGCAGAGAGAGGGTAAAATAATGGAGGAAAAAAGAAAATATATAGATATGGAGGTAGAGAACTCGCCTGGACCTACAGTGACCTCTATTGTACGATATTCCATCACAATCTGTTTACATAATTGCCGTCTGAATTTGAATCCGAATGAAAGGTGGTACTACTTGTTTTTGGTCAGGTAGGATGAAATGGTATCAGACTATCACAAATGACAGTAGATGTAGACGTTTATATTTATTTTCAATATGTGCGTGAGTGGAAATAGGGGAGTGGATCACTAAACATAATTTGCAGTACAAGCTAATGGAAACTGCTGGTCTGATTAACCACTGCAGGTAAATGAGATAGAGCACATTTATTCAAAAGAAATTGTCTCATCTTTATCAACCTTTAATTTGCCAAAATCACAGAAATATAGATACAACTTGTTTGTTTCTTCATGTTATTGTTGAATCTGTTAGTTAAAATTGTACACACAATCTCCGTCTGCGGTGTTGAAATTGAATGGCACTGTGCTTGCACTCACCTGTGAACACAAACAGCAGATAACATTTTTGTAGGCGCAGTGCATTTATTTTTACCACGTTCGCAGCAAACGCCACAAACAAGGACTTTCATCAACCAAAAAAAAAAAAAAGCAATTACTTGACACTGGCTGATCATGCAGGATAACCAGCAGGTCGTTAGCATTTTATGACCATGGTTCTATTTGGTTTCACTAAGTGAAAGCATATCGGAGGCACAGGACCCTGCACTCTGTGAGCTGCAGTGAACAGTGTCCTTCGAACAATGAACAGTACATTGCTTTTATTTATATATTTTAGATATGTTTTAAATCCATATATATTATTCAAAATGTGGCTGTTTCTCTTTGCCATGAACACAATCAGATTTGTATGTGGTCTGTGTTTTTAGACTCTCTACACATTCTGTTCCTGAAAGAAATAATTCACCTGTGCAGCAGCTGGATTTTTTCACACTTGTGTGTGTGTGTGTGGCACCAACTGTCCTTCACAGTGGCCATTTCTCTACTTATCTGAGGCAGTGTGAGATTGAGGGCCATCACCCACACTCTGTTGCCATAGTGAAGGCAGACGGAGGGCAGTTTGAGTGACGGCTGATCCCACCACACACATTTTCTCCTCCTTCATGCTTGTTGATGCTCCACTCCCTGCGCAGTCACCTCATTCACGGTGGCTCAGTCACTGACACATGTATCTGGTCGGCTGTCTATATTTCATGTCAGCACACTGGTTAGAAGAGACTGCAGCCGCCAGTCGGGGCAACTGCACTAAATGGATGACGCTGGTCCAAATCAGGTTGCCAAAAGTAACTGGTCAGAGTGTCAAAATGTCAGCGGTGTATGTTTTAAGTAAAAAAATACTTAATTTATTGAGATGCCATTATAACACACGTTACAATTACTTTATAGTTTTACATCAGGCATTAAAATAAGTGTCCTATCCAGATTGTTTCTAGAAATGACGCTCTATAGACACACTGCACCAACAAACCTTTGATTTTTTTTGCTGAAGACTGCGGCTGCTACACATTTCCACCCATATAGTTGTGGTATGAGGATAGACAATGCATTTGCGTTTACAGGTGTTCAATGTGGTCACAATGTGTCCCTAAAAAAAAAAATAATAAAAAAACCTCTGGAGGAGGTTTGGCCAATCAGATAACAATCTGTCCTCAATGCGTCTTGGGTGTATTTACACTAGGGTTGGGCGATGTCATCGGTGGATATTTTAGGCATCTATCCCATTGCAATCCGATCACCTAAAACGCATTTTAATGGTAGATGTGAAATCGGCCAAAGATAGGTTGGGAAATCAGTAAATTGGGATAAAAATGTAGATTAATATCAGTATTTTAATATATAGTTAATTTGAACATGGTATATACAGTACTGTGCCAAGGTTTTAGGCAGGTTTGGAGAAATGCTGTAAAGCAAGAATGCTTTCAAAAATAGACATGTTAATAGATAATGTTTATCAATTAACAAAATGCAGCGTGAGTGAACAGAAGAAAAATTGAATCAGTGCCTTGTGTGACCACCCTTTGCATTCAAAAGAGCATCAGCTTTTCTAGGTGCACTTGCACAAAGATATTCTGCACGGTGCTTTATTTTCTTTATATAGTCAAATATCCTGTCCTTTTAATCAACTAGATAGTCTACACTTATATAAATAATAATTAGTCAGTGCAGATGATTTATAAAACCAGACTCAATAAACATGGATGGAACTTGTTGAAGACACAATGAGGAGGATGTTGTTTGAGCAAAAGAATAGTCATAATGTTGTCTTGAATGACAAAAACAGGAACAAAGTGAAATATAATACACATATTATATGTTTTTGTTACTGTGTAATATATTTAGAACTGAAACTATTGGTCAGTTGGCTGAAAATTGGCCAGCGACAGTATGGATAATCAGTCAAATGTCAAATCAATGTCAAGGAAAAATGAACCAAATTAACTGGTTTTGTATGAGTATATTGCAATGATGTGTTAACCCTTATTCGCCCTTCCCTTTCCACATTTTATTTTCTCAGATCGGGCAGCTGGTGTTCAAGGGGATGAAGCGTCTGAACAGGATCCAGTCCATAGTGTTTGAGACGGCCTACAACACCAACGAAAACCTTCTCATCTGCGCGCCAACTGGCGCCGGCAAGACCAACATCGCTATGCTGACCGTCCTTCACGAGATCCGCCAGCATCTGCAGCCCGGTGGCGTCATCAAGAAGGATGAATTTAAGGTCTGACAAACTAGAGATCCAGAATTCGGGGTTTCCTATTGCTGCTGTGAAGGATATGATACAGTCATCAGTTGACAGCTGTTACAGTTATTTTACCTGGCAAACTAAAAACTCTGACATCTTAACAAATAAATGAACCATGAATGCTGACGCGACTGCTGCACTAGCTTATCGGTTTTACTAGGGGGGTCACGTTTCTCCAAATCCACTATTTGATTCCTATATTTTTTAAACCTGGGCCCTTTTTTTCACATACTTTAGTGTCGAAATAACTAGCAGGTATCTGTGGAATCAGTGCAGTAGATGTCTTGAGCCAGCAGTGCAGTTGCAGTGGCTGTAAGATATTTATTTAGGGTGGATAATGTTACTGGCGGAAACATTGAGCTAGCTAGATAACCACAGCGACGGTGGACAGCGAGGGTCAATCAAAGAACTGCAGGACATCTCCGACTCCATCAACGACCATGATTCCACGCTGGACACAAGTAAATATGCAGGGAGTGAAAAGAAAAATACTTGGAGGAATCAAAATTATGATACCCTGGGGTATCAATCCCTAGTTTCAATAAATGATATCATGCAAATAAAAAAAACATTGTTTTGCTCTATGTCAACATTTTGCGGGTGTATCACATATCTGAAGTGCTGCTTGTGTGATTCAGACCTTGATGTCGGGGATGGAGAGAGTCTGTCTTCCTCCCACAATACAACACTTCAAGTATAGCTGTGTAGTATAGCTGTAACTGTTCCTGACTGAAAGAGTAAAACTCAAGTTTAAGTTCAGGGAATAACATCCTCAGTTGGTTACCCGCCCCAGTTAAACCGGGAAGAAGAGCTTAGATCTAACGGCAAACGGTTATTTATAGAGATGGCAGATCATGTAGGACCCCATAGTAAGAAACTGATTGAGAAATTACGATTTTAGGGGCATTAAAGCCAAGCTGTTCAGCTGTCAAAAATATTTAAAATGCTTACTAATTGACTTTTAAAGGATAAATCGGTTGCAAAAGAAACACCATTTACCTACAGTCCCTACATTTGACTTTGTTAGAACAGGCTGTGATTTTACTCTGTTTGTCCATCTTTTCATCTTATTGGATAGACAGATAGTTATCAATGACTTACTGTTGTTTCAGAAGGTTTTCCATATTTCTGAATACCTGTTTAAAAAAAAAAAAAAAAAAAAAAGCTGAAAGAGGTCAAAATTAAATACAGCAACAACTCTAAAACAGAATCTTCAATATATGCACAAAAAGTCAGCTATCGGCATCAAAGATATTGGTCCACGTCTTCATATCCCCATAGTGTCAAATCCTAACACACAGATCAATAATTCAGCAGCTGAAAGGGTATCTTTGTTCTCTTCATGAAGGCTCACACACAAACACACTCACACCCAGCGTCGCACAGCGCCAGCCAGCGACGATAGCCACTTTTCATACATCACCATTAAACTTTACCCATGCAAGTGGCCGGCATCATATTTCTCAATGAATTGTGATTTGTGCTGGTTGCCAGGAAAGAAATGATGCCGCTTCTGTTTTCTCATTTATCACCACAGTGTCCTTCCAGTCCCACTCTCCTGTACTCCCCTCCACCCCTAAGCCCATCCCCATCCTCTACCTTCCCCGCTCCACCACTATCTGTTCTCTATCCTATTTATGTGCCTCTCTCTCTCTAGATAGTATATGTGGCTCCTATGAAGGCCTTGGCAGCTGAGATGACTAATTACTTCAGTAAGCGATTGGAGCCACTGGGCATCACCGTTAAAGAACTCACTGGAGACATGCAGCTAACCAAAGGAGAGATCCTGCGAACACAGGTACACATGCACACGCACACTGAGTTATGCCTCTAAAATATTCAAACCAAGGGCACAAACGGCCGGTTCCCTCTGCTACACATGCATGTTCTCTAGCACCCCCAAGTGGATAGGATTGTGACATTTAAGGCCATTTCATCGTTTATTCTCCAAACTGCATCAGTCACAGTTCTGCCAATTACTAGTCACAAATGAAACTTAACTAGATGTCTAATTGAATTGTTATCAACTTCCGAGCAATACGTTTCCACTTGCTTTCAAATAAAGAACAAATGATCAAAGGGCCTGCTAAACACAAATTGTCTGTTGTTCTTGTTCTGGCTTCTTGGAAAAAGGTTGAATGGAATTCCATTGTCCTAATTCGCACACATCCTTTCTTCTTTAAACCTTAGTTCATTTTACTGCAAGTTGATTTAAAATGACCAATATTATGTAAGTAATTTATGTAATTTACTGTTTATTGACAACCTTATTTTTTAGTTTAAAAAAAAAAACCTCATTAAAATACGCTCATGACAGTTTGGTTAAAATACATCAAAACTCATTTTACTATTTTATTTATAAAAAGATTCAACACAGCAATGTAGAGTAATTTCACTACTGTCCAGGTGTAGATGACATTAGAACCAAAGGTGCATTAACTCAACAACCCACTTTTTACTAAACAAATAAGACAGATAAGAGAACCGAGGAATGTTTATTTAAATGCTTGATTGAAATAGGTCTGACTGACAGATCTACCAATTGTTTCAGCACTTATAAGCCCACTTATCTACCAGGACAGTCAGTCGCCATTGGTAACTCCAAATGTAGCCAATCCAGAGTTTGCATGGTGTAAGCAGCCTTTTCGCTGTTTGCTCGTCTTGTAAACAGCTCTCTTGAGTGATTTATCATGGCGCTGTCAACTGCACTCCCTGGAGAAATATTGTCTAATTTTTGGAAAAATGAAAAAAGATCTTTCTGAGATTGCTCTCAGAAAGATTTGCATTGTACGTTTGAAGGTTGTATTCAGGCTGTCAAACTAACGTGAAACAAATAAAGACAGAAGCTAAAGCCTACCGATCACAGAGTAAAAGTGAACCACCGTATCACCGCACGACTGAGACAAAGGACAACAATATTAAGGATCAACACTTTTCCTGTACAGCTGGGTAGGTCTCTGTTCACTATTACAGTCAGTAAAAAGCAGAACAGTAGGGCTTTATAATGTTATATAATGTAGTAAGTTAGCTAGCGTTACAGCATTTTTCTGGTTTTATTTTAGGTTTTGGAAAGAAAATAAATCGTACTTCTCCTTTCAACCTCTCTGAGTAGCGACTGTAACTATTACAAGATGCCCCAGGAACAGCGTTTGACCAGATTTTAGAAAAATAGAGCCGAAAAAAAAACTAGAAAACGACTCTTTTTACATTAGAGAGCAGCCATGAAGGAGCCGGACCTCAGTTAGAGCGAGTCCAATACTGCAGTGTGATTGGCCAGCTGCGTATTCGGGGCGTGGCTTAATGAAGGGTCAGTCGGGCCATGAACTTCTCTACAAGATGAACAGCTATGAGCTTCAGGACCTCTGCATTCTTCAGAAATGGAAAAATAAAATAAGCCTATAGACGGGTTTTTGCAAAGCTGCAAATTATTACTCATTTAAAAAGTAATAATAGTACTTTACTTATTACTGTCTTTCTTATTACTCTCTGGAGATGGAGCGGGTTACCTTTTAATCGGAAGGTCGGCGGTTCAATCCCCGGCTCCTCCAGGCTGCATGTCGAAGTGTCCTTGGGCAAGATACTGAACCCCGAATTACCTCTGGTAGCTGGATCATATATAAACTATGGTCGGATATAGGCTGTTTGAAAATAATAAAAAGCAAAGCAGGTCCCTCCCGACATTTTAACTAATCGTGTATTCATAACAGCATTAATGAGTTTGATTTTTGCAAAGCATAACTTTTTTTTTAACGCCACTGTCTGAGATAAAAAAGTCTCGACTTGACAGCAAGTCAAGTGTCTTGACTTGCTGACCTGACCTGCTGAGTGGATGCTTCACTGGCAGTAACTTTAACGTTTCTTAGCATTAAGTCAACAAGAATTTAAAAACAATGCGTAATCAGCGTTGATTACAGACTACAATCTTCTGACTGGCTACCGAAGCGCTTTTGCCCCCTGGCTGCGCGCACATCCATTCTGTTTGTATACAAGAAACCCGTCTATGGAATACATGAAATATGATTAATATGTGTGCCGGGACACAATGGCAGCATGCCCCTGCAATGGCAAAACTTAATTACACGTGAATGCAATAATAAATTCTGACACTAATGTGCTTTTAAACAGCAGTACAAGGATTCCTACAGAGTATTTACAGTAGCAGTACACCGTCTTGCCCGAAGTACAGAGCACCTCTACCAGCGTCGGAACAAATGAAGACACTTTAAAGTTATTATTTAGCTTCAGGGAAAATGAGCAGAGGTGCTACAGTACATCACACAGCAAAGGCCACATATTTACTGAGTAAGGCAATTGTGTAGATCATCATCTTGGAACTAACGTTAGTTTAGCTATATTGAAAAGGAGACGGGAGGCGTCAGGATCTGTCTGATGCCAAAGACAGCGACCTATTGGTGATCACTTTAACATTATGTTTAATTTAGCTGTAATAATCAGAGCAGCACATCGCAATGTTAACCAGTCATAGTTAAACCTGTACACTCTCTGCTGCTGGTCAGATGTTAGATGTTAGATTGATAATCATCACCAGTTGCTCACTTGGCCATAAATTAGTATTAGTGACTTGGACAAATGGCGGCAATAAAAAATACTTCTCGCAGGACAACCTTGCAGTGCAGTGATAACCATGTTAACACTGGGGAGTGTTAGCATAACTTAATGTTAATTACAATTTCAGGTTAAGGCAACAAACTAGGTTTTTACCCAAAACACTCATTAAAGCACCAAATGTGGATTAATCCTCCGCTGGAAATAGTCTCGAGGAAATGCACTATTTCCTCCTGTTTGAGTAACATTTGCTAAAAGCTACAGTGACCAACAGTTGGTAACTGTTGGCATAATACTGAGCATTTTTACAAATGAAACCATTTGTTTATTGCTCAGCCGTTTTGTGGGCTGAGTGCAGCAAACAGGGTAGGGAAGTCAGAAAGTAGTGCGACAGACTAACATGTTGTTGGCTTTGGTCTTTTTTATGGGATTTGTTGACAATAACAGAAACACCATCCTTATCATTTAAGTGATCGCTGCTTAAAGCATGGTGGTGCAGCCAACTTAGATAATGCTTGGTAAACTCCAGGATCAGTTCGTTTTTTAAATGAAGGATTAACTGATAATGAAATAGTTGAACTATGACGCAAGTTGTTTATTATGCATGGGCGATGATCCTACAGAAAGGATGACATTAAATGGGCCAATACAATTTCAAAACATTTTCTTTTCACTCTCCTAAATAGGAATTTCCAACCTCTCTGTAACAATATGCCCTTTTTTTAGCGCTCAAAGGGATGAGCAATCTGTTGTCAATGACAATGTTCTGTTGTTGAGTCAATTTGTGATCAATGAGATGTATTTGTGTTGAGATTTCAGTAAGTTGTGTAGTGAGCAGCTGATGAAGTACGTTATGTGTGGGGTTTTACTGATGGAACATGCGAGTTTAACCTCGCTTATCTGAGAGAAACCCCCGCATGCAGGAGTCTCCTTCTTTGTTGTAGAAAGGGGATGGATTTATTACCACGAGGCCAAAGAAAAAGGGATGAAAGCTGCGGGTTGAGCACATATTTAGTGAGAGAACCTGGCTCCTCTAGCTCAGAGCAAAGTGGAGGTTTCTGGATCCAGCCTGAAAGACTGAACTATGAGACTGAGAAGGTTGGGAAAACATCCATATCTGTTAAATCCAAAACCAGTTGGATTTGAACGATTGCACAGCTTAGAGGTAAAGTGTATAAGCCTTGTGGGGCTTATGAATACAGAAAAGGAAAGGTTGGGGTTTGGTGTGTAGGGGGTGCCGGTGATGGGAGGCGGGGTTTATTCCTATGAAATGAGGCCAATTCCATCTAATCTGAAGGTGTATTAAAGGAGCATTTCTATCAGGGCATATGAACACAAAGAGAGTGATTAGTCAGATTCGCTGCAGCTCTGCAGCACTCCACTTTTCTCTTCCACTTAGCCTTATTCACTTTCTTGTCTCTCGTGCCTCCATTTGACTATGTTAGTGTCTGTCCACATTTAAGAGGCCAGAGTGATGCCACACACTGTAACCTTGGCTTTCTTCTGTCTCTCCTCAAAGTCCTCACTGCTTCTTTCATCATGCCCTTTTGATGTGCAAGGTAGAGTGGGGGTTCTTCAGCCACTTGCAAGGTGTATGAAGAAGAGGATGCAGTCATGAAGGATCAAAACTCCAGCAGTAATCAATTAGCATTATTATCTATTGTTGTTGACTATTTTCTTCCTGCGCCCTTCATCAGGGTCATTATACAACACTTCACAAAGAATGAGACAAGTGCAAAAATAAAACCGTGATTAACAGCAACATAAACGTGGTCGTGACTGACTTTAGTAAATGAGCATGTTGTTTAGACAGAGAGGCTTGGGCTGTGTCTAATGATGCATATGGGTGGCACCATCTTAAGTCCACAAACGGGAGAGGTATATCTACAGGGAGGTACCTCAGACCTAGTAAGTATTTATAGCAAGTTATTATATTAAATGGCAATCATATGGAAATGCATGAAAATGAATAACAAAATGTAAACCAGTCAATATGTGCACAGAATACACAATGTATAATGACACATGCAGTAAGAGAGCTCTCAGCGTGTCACCATACAGCGCAGCACCTACAAATCCTGATGACACATCTTATCAGTTTCATGATCATACTGCTTTTCTATTTTGTTGTCTCATTTTGTGTTGTTTTGTTTTTTATTTTTCAAATGTGCCTGGCTGGGGGTGCAAATAGGTTTGGCTGTTGTTTCAGTAGGTAAATGTTTGAGTTTGTGG